GTAATGATGGGCTCAAAGGGTGTGATGAGCCAGCTGGTTGGTCGTTGACATTTTTCTGTCCAGATGGCGAAGCCGTGCATGTGCTGTGGAGAAGCCCGTGCCACCTTACAGATTTTTTCAGCTTTTGCTCTATTGTCATTTTTGTCTCAAATGACAAAAAAAATAAACTGTTTTACTTCAAAGATTATTTATGTAGCATATTTACAACAATCTCAACTGACCAACAAGATTGTCCAATTATATGGTCAATGGAAATGCAGCTGCTGCCTTTTTCCTGCTTCGTCTTTAATCTCTTTAGGTTTATGCATGATATTATGATTTTTGATATATTTTTTTCTACTTCATGTTGTCAGACAGGTTCCTCTGGCTGCCTTAAGGTATTTCTTAATCTTACATATATAATATAGAATAAAGTCTATTGTTTCATTGTTCAATATAAAAAGTTTTAATAGGTTGGAATTTCAGCCTTCACAAAATAGAGTGCATTCTCCATCAACAACATGCACACTCAGCACAACTCATGCAATAAAGTACATTATCTTAATCAGCAGAGATTCTGCAGTCAGATCATCTGTTATCTACACACTGTTCACTTATCCTGTTTACAATTTCAATTCTTATCTGCTCAAAGGACCTTCGATCCACCACATGAACCTGTTTTATCCCTGCTCCTCTGCTGCACTCTCAGGTACACACTGCGGCTACATCCTGCCCCCACTGACGGTCAGCGCCAGCAACACAATCTCTGTCAGCTTCCAGTCGGACAGTCGCCTCACGGATCGAGGATTCTCTGCAGAGTTTGAGGCGGTGTATCCTGAAGATATTGCAGGTAGAATGGCAGAAACACGCAGAAACAGCTTCACGGCTCAGGGAGGAAGTTGTTAAAGCACCTCAGCGTCTCGTTAACCAGTCGTAAACACATCACGGTGCCAGATACTCGGCTGCTGCTGCAGCTGCCTGAACTCTGTGGAAACATGGGTCAAAGTACAGAAAAGCAATCAAGAGCCAGATAAAACCTTTTTATATTTTATCACAATGATTATCATCATAAAAAGATATTTATTGCGGATGACTGTACAAACAAATTAATTAGAAAGTCCACTAAGTGGGGGTTTGTTGTGCACGTTTTTATCATTTATAAAAATCCATATGATAAGAATCTGTGATTCATCATTGTCTTTGTAAATGTGAATGAATTTTTTTTTTTTAAAAACTGACATTATTGTAAATGTTATTTTTACTATTTTCTGCACTGTTCCACAAATATCAGTGAATTTGAAAATGTGATTAAAGTTACTGCGTGCAATTTATTGATATAAATCACTTTTGTAAGTGGCATGGCGAAGAAGAGTCAAATGAAAATGTTTTTCAAGAACAGTATTTGTGTCTAAAAAGATTGAATATTTTTTATTATCATTTTTATTATAGTGGCACAATAGTGGCACAAAACATCCTGACAAAATTCCAAGTCCACCGGGTTTATAGATTAATGTTATCTCCACTGAAAGATAAGAAGGCTAAAACTAACACTGTAATAACTGACTGTAGCAGTCTTTATCTTGAGAAAAACTGTTTTGTTTTCTTTAGATAAGATAAAAATACCTTGCTCTCAAATACACAGATAAGATCTATTTCTGTGCAAGTCTCCTCTGTAGCATTGCAGCTGGTTTTGCAGAGTCAGACGTTTTCAATTTGTACGATTTGATGAACCAAAGTACAAAATTCTTGAGCTCATTCAATTTGCTTGAAAGATGTATTTCCTGCAGTAGACTTGTAGATAAGCGTATTTACTCAATCCCTTGTTTAAATACCTAATCTTCAGGTATCATACCATCCATCTCCATGTTATTTGTTTCTGCTTTTTAGACATCCTGGGATGTGGCTTTTCCTCTGCAGAGGAAACTGGTGTTATCAAATCCCAGAACTGGCCGATGAACTACAAGGCCAACATGGAGTGCATGTGGAACATTGCTGTGCCTTTAGGGAAGAAAATCACTTTGACATTCACTCATTTTGACCTGGAAGGCAAAGACTTTATCACTTCTAAGTGCTACGACAATGTGATGGTGTTTGACATCAATGGCTTGACGAGCGCACTAAATCAAAAACATGGTAAGTTAGGGTCATTTTTCCCCCTATCGTGATCACTAATAATTCAATTACGCAGCCTTTATGTTTTTACTTACTGACTATTTTCGGTTTTATTCAGGACCTTTATGCGGAACAAACCTGCCCAAGAGCATCCAAACCAAGGGCAACAGGCTGCTGATCCGTTTTCACGCAGACATGTTTACTGAGGCTAAAGGTTTCAGGGCCTACTGGACTACAGATCCCAGTGTCCCTGCTCCCACTGAGCCGCCTGCCGAAAAAAACCCCTGGGACGACATCGCCATAGGTAGACTGTCTGTGTCAGTGTGAAGCTATTAACTACATTAAAGAGGAAAATTTCAAGCTACACCGATCAGAATTGGCGCAGTCGGTAGCACTGTTGCCTTGCAGCACGAAGGTCGTGGGTTCGATTCCTGGTCCGGGAGTTTGCATGTCCATGCATGGGTTCTCTCCTGTCGGTCTCTGTGTTGCCCTGCAACAGACTGGGGACCCGTGCAGGGTGGCTCTGCCTCCCGGCACCAGCACCCAGCAGTTTAGTACAACAGAAATGTGTGGGGCATACGCCGAGTCACTCCGCTCCTAGATGAACGGTCAAACACGGTTAGTTTGGATGCTGAGAACACAGTGTGAGGTGACCTGCTGCTTCACTTCCCTTCCTTTGCTGGTTGTCACCTTATTTCCATTCTTCATCCAGGGATGAGCCCCAGGTGGCTGCAGCCTCTGACAAAGCAATTTCTTAAACAGAGTTTGTTAGATGGACAGCGCTGTTTTTATAGGATTTCATTTTCCTGCCAACCTCAGACAGAGTTTCCTTATTAACAAGGTTACAGAAGGGAGCAGAAAAAATAATTTGCTGTCTGGGCGAACAAAATGAATGTACAATTTTTAATTTGCATTTTGACAGAAATTATCTTTCCCCAGCAAGTTGTAGTGGAGCCGTGTTCTTTGAAGCGACGATGTCAGCCGTGTGTAACTGCAAAAATAATTTTGGAAAACATGTATCAGTGCAAAACAGAGGTTTATCTGTCAGCAGCAGATTTCTGCTCTTTATTCTGCCTGCATTCAAACACAAACATCTCTTGTAGACTGGCCCGAAACATGCGGGAAACCGGCCGTTCCTCCGTCTGTCGTGTCACGCATTGTGAATGGAGAGGAAGCTGTAGCGCACTCCTGGCCCTGGCAGGTGTCCATGCAGGTGGGAATGTCCGCAAAAAAGGCATCAGAGTTTACAGGAGCAGCTCCAGTTTCTGGACTGATGCAGTTTTCATCTCTCTGCTTGTTTTTTGCTGCGTTTCTTTCAGGTCTGGCCGTCCAGTCAGCCTGAGCCCAAGTTTTTTCACACCTGTGGTGGGACACTGATTCATAAAAACTGGGTGCTAACAGCAGCCCACTGCTTCATAAGGTAAATACAAGAAAAAATAATCCCCTAAATCCAAAGTGAACTTGTCTTGTTATCCAGTAAAAGCCATTTAAATTGCTTTAATTTTCCACAACCATCAAGAACTGGACCACAAAGTCCAATTATGTCATAATCAACACTGTCACATGCTGCAGTGCGCACAAACTATACAAACGCTGTGGCTGTTCCCCAGTTCAGACACTGCAAAAACACAAAACCCACCCAAGTATTTGTGTCCCAGGTTTTAGAACATTTGAAATAAGACAAAAACTAACTTAGAAGTAACTTTTCAAGCCTCAGAAGATATAGGAACTTGTTTAAAGTCAATGAATCCTTAATATTGACAAAAAATGATTTGGCAGATTATTTCACTTATAGCAAAACATTTTTTCCATGTCATCAATGGAACTGATACTTTTTCATCAATATTTATAAATTATTGCCTTAAAATAAGCTCCTATATCTTGCTGAAGTTATTTATCAGCGATTATTGTCTTATTTCAAGTGCATTAAGAGATTTGCACTAGAAACAAGTCCATAAAACCTTGGTAAGATTTTGTGTGTTTAGTGTACACTTTGACCACTTTGACTATAACTACTGCAGTGAGCACAGAAACCACACTGACGGTCGTTGTTAAGAAGTGATTTAACTCTTGAAATACAGCTTTTTTAATAACCTGTAAAAAAGCTCAAGAGGTGTGAAAACGTTTGCAAGGCTCTGTAGCTCAATGAAACAAAGTCTAACCCTCTAATTCATCCCCCAGATATGCGGATGAGCTGCAGCGCTGGCGAATGTGCCTCGGCAAACACAACCTGACCACCGCAGAGCCAAGCGAACGCTGCATCAGCATCTCTGGCATCTATCGCCACGAGGGCTTCCAGTATCCCACAGTTCCCACTGTGGAGTTTGACATTGCGCTGGTGAGGCTGGTTGAGGACGCCGCTCCCACAGATCAGATTTCCTTCGCCTGCCTTCCCTCTGAGGAGGAAATCCTTCCTGAAGGGAAGAGGTGCTACGCCACGGGCTGGGGGGACGAGACAGGTGATGTTTCCTCCTCATGTTCAGCAAAGCTAGTCGATCACTTTTTCATTTTCAAACCAGTGTGCGGTATTAAACTGTAAGAAACAGTAAGAAAAGCAATCTGCCAGTGGAACTAATGCTTTTTCATCAATATTAAGGAATTATTGAGTTAAAACAAACTCTTTTTTTCTTACTGATGTTTTTTTTGTTTTCAAGTTAGATTTATCTTATTTCAAGTGTACTAAGATATTTGCCGTAGAAATTACACCAAAAATACTTCATAATATATTTCAAAATGAAGGAACTAACAAAATGAGAGCAAGAATACTATATTTAAAAAATAATAACTGTGCAAGTTTTTTCCTGTGAACATTTCCTAAAAACCAGCCAAATGTTTTGAAAAGCAGCCCAAATCTTAATTAGCTGTTTATTTCAACCCAACAAGCCCAGTTGGGTGGAAACCAGCCCAATCTGGCAACACTGATCCTCCAGAACAGTCTGAGTCTCAAAGTTTTCATGCCACCTGCTGGACAGAAAAGGAAATACTCCTCCTGTTGATCAAAATGCTGAATAAATTGCTTTTCTGTGTTTGATCAGGTGATTCGATGAATGCTAAAGTTTCAGAGACGCTCAACCAGGTGGCCCTTCCTGTTGTCCCATATGACACCTGTAAACGAATGGATTACTGGTGGTTCCAGGTGAAGACCTCCATGATCTGCTGCGGATACACACTGCCTGACGAGCTGAAGTCTGTCTGTCAGGTAAAACAAGCCACAGAATCTGAAATAAAATGACATTCTGTGAAGAATGTGTTTCATTGTGGGTTTGTAACTTTGACAGGGAGACTCTGGGGGTCCACTGGTTTGCCAGGACACACCTGGTGATCCCTGGGAGGTTCATGGCATCACCAGCTTCGGCCCTATTGGATGCATAATGAACAAAAAGCCGTCCGTGTTCACCCGCTCCTCAGCCTACCTTCCTTGGATCTCAAATGTCATCCGCAGGGAGCTCTACAATGAGCACAGTATGAATCTATTTGCCTGAAATTACCCACTTTGTCTAGAAAGTCGGAGCATGTGTGTGCCCTTTGTTCACCTTGTGGTTTTTCTGTGCAGCATCGGGTTGTGGAGGGCCGAAGGATTTGTCCGGCGAAGGCGGCACAGTGTCGTCGATGCGTTACCCCGCCGCCTACAGCAACAACGCCCGCTGCCAGTGGAACATCGAGGCGCCTGAAGGGAAACTGGTGCACCTCCACTTCGCCGATTTCTCCCTGGAGGAGAGTCAGCTGTGCATGAACGACAAAGTCAGCCTCACAGACAATGTGGGAAATCTGGGTGTGTGAAAGTCTACCGCAGCCTGTTATTTTCAGCAAAAACATGTCAGTCAGGTGACAAAGTGTTGCTCCGGCAAAAGATTGACATTTTTGACGTCCTTCTTCTTGCTCGAATGTTTCCTGACTTGCAAAACAAAACCCGTCCATAAAGAAGAAAGCAACAGCAAAACATTTTAATATTGTTTTCTTTTGAATATGTCTCAAGAAAATGCATCATAATTTATAGAATTTTAAAACTACAGTTACAAATAAGGATCTAAACAAATGAAATACATTATTTTATCAAAGCTTCTTGCTCATGATAAGAATAACAGAACGTGAAATAAAATGCGTCTTGGCCTGAAATGTTGAAGGTCACAGGTTGGACTTAAACCTGCAGATTCAGACATTAAATCAATACTTCACAGCACAAAATCATCTTTTAAAGCCATTCTTACCAATTTCCATGTTTAAAATAGAGATTCTGCCATTTATTTAACTAAATAACATGGAAGAAATGTCCAATTGTCTTGAGGTTGGGACCAGTGTTGGTCAGGTTGGTTCAACTCTTGAAAACGTCAAAAGTCTGAAGTTTTCAGACTTTTGTTTTGTTGGTTCATCCAGTTCAGTCCATATAGCTGTTGATATGAAGATTTGGGAACGTGATCCTGAATCGTTTGCTAAGTACTTTTCAAAATTAAATAATATTGTCCCTCCAAGATTATGTGATTGTTTTTCAGATTTTTTGCAATCAAAATCACAGATTTTTATGGAGCTACTTTAGAAACATTTTGCAATATTTGCGCTTTTGCATGACAGTAAATGTCACATTTTGTTACACATTACTTAAGTAAAGCTGCGGCAGCAGCATGAAATACTGCCATCTGCAGGAGCGAAGTAACATCACTTAATCTCCATTGTTTTTGCCATTTTTGAGGAAAACTTGCAGTCAACCCACAACTATGCATTAGCACAAAAAAGTATGAGGATTTGTTGATTTTGTGTGAATATCAATGATCGAGTTTTTGCGAAAAAGTGAAGGGACTGATTGGTGTAATTAGACAGCATACAGATAAAAACTGCTTTGACTTGATTGCTAAAATAATAATTAAGCACATAACTGCTATCTGAAGAATTTGTTCTTGTTTCCAACAGGGACCTACTGCAGTCATGTTCCCCCTGCAGATTTGGTGAGTGATGGAAATAAACTTCAAATCAGCTTCTCCACTAACGACAAGGTGGTCGACTCCGGCTTCACTGCGACCTGGAAGGCGGTGGACCCCACAGAGGGTGAGACGGGGTGTAAACCTGGTGGGATGAGGCACAACACATGCAGCGGTTACATGACGTGTTGTTTCATTCTGCTGCAGCTCCATGCGGAGGACGTTTCGGCAGCAACCAGGGGGAAATCACCTCTCCAAACTGGCCCAGTGACTACAACGCGCAGAGCGTCTGCACATGGCTCATCACTGTTCCCTCGGCAGAAAGGATTCACGTGGCGTTCACTGACTTCGAGCTGCAAGCCGTTAACATGTTTGGAAACTGTGTGGACTATGTGGAGATCTTTAATGGAGAAACCATGGCATCACTGGGTTTGTTGGCGTCACACAGATTCAATCTTTGTTCAGTTGATTCTTTAGTAAATCTTCTTTTCTTTTTCTGTCATCCAGGTCGGTTCTGCGGCTTCGCCCCACCATCCACCGTCACCGTCCCCAGCAACACGGCGGTCATCCGCTTCTTGAGCAATGGCGCAGATCAGCAGAAAGGTTTTCGAGGTTACTGGACCACCGATGCCAGTGTGGTTCCGACTTTACCTCCTCCTCCTCCAAACCCCTGGGACAACATCACCATCAGTGAGTGGAACCAGCTAAACTAGCTGCTGCTAACTCTCCTCTGAGGTTTCATAATGCTGGGACAAATAGATGACATGTTGTCCTATAATCCGGATCTTCAGAGATGGGAAGAGGATCCAAAAATGTACTCATGTAACAACATTATGTTAGCATATTGTTACTGTTTTAACTTTTTCCGTAGGGAATTATTTGTTGTTAATTCAAATTTTCAAGGAGTTATTGTAGATAGTGATGGCTGTTGGCTGTAGCAGTCTGCATTCCAGCACATTTGAAGAAGCCTCTGACTGAAGACAGTCTGTTTTCCAAAGACAGTCTGAGTAAGATAGTACAGAGATATTTGCACTATAATTTAAACGTAGATTCTTGGTAAGATTTTGTGTTTTTGCAGTGTAAACTCTGAGACTGAGTTTGTTGGTGACATATAAACACATCCTTAGTCCTGATTACGGCGTAAAGTTTAAACTTTCTGCTCTCAGATTGGCCAGAGGATTGTGGAAATCCAGCAGTGAAACCTAAAACGTTGACTCAGCGCGTCGTCAACGGGGAGGAGGCCGTCCCACACTCCTGGCCTTGGCAGGTCTCAATGCAGGTGCAACAACCTTCTGCTTTCCTGTTACAAAGTAACTCGGAAAAATACTTTTTAGAACTTTTTACACTTTTGTTTCCATGATTATTTTTTATTCTCATATTATTCTGACTTATTCTGGTATTTATTATTTTAGTTTATTATTGCATTTTATTATTTTAATTTATTATTCATTACTTAATTTTCCCTTGAGATAAATAAAGTATTTTGTATTGAATTAATACTTTGACTTTATTCACAGATAATTCTGTAATTTTGACTTTTTTCTGGCATTTTTGTGACATTATTCTTGTACTTTTCTGACTTTATTCTGATAATATTTTGACTTTGTTCTTGTATTATTCTGATTTTATCTCATAATACTATAAACTTTTTCTTCTAATATTATGACTAGTTAAAAATAATCCGTCAGCCTTTCCCTGTTACTTTGACATAGGTGTGTCCTCTTATTATTAAATTAATAAATGTTGTCATTTTAAAATGATGTGGTTTTTTTTCTTGTTTCTGAAGGCGACGCTCTTGCCTCCCATACCTCACCTGCACAACTGTGGAGGCTCTTTGATTCATGAGGAATGGGTCCTTACTGCTGCTCACTGTTTCATGTTGTCAGTATCTTACACAGTAAATAAACTTTTTTATTGTATTATCAACACATTTTCGCTTAAGTTAGTTGTTTAGTTGCCTCATCTCCATCTTTGACATCCAAGCAATTGTTTTGACACTGAGGATCTCTCTATTGGCTCTGCTTTCTATGAAATCATGTTAATCGATTACTATTAGAGTATTGAGACATATCCGTGTTCCATGTCCTCTTCAGCCCTCTGAACAAACCGTCGTTGCACCGCATGTGTTTGGGAAAACACCACATGAACTCCTCCATGGACGTTCCCTCTGCGGAGAAGTGCTTCCAGGTGGACGAGATAATCCGACACGAGGGCTTCGTGTACGAGCAGGATCCCTCTGACATCACCAACGACATCGCCCTGGTGCATCTGAGCGAACCCGTCAACATGACCAGGGAGATCAGCCCCGTCTGCCTGCCGAAGCCCGGAGCCGTGATGCCGGCGGGGACACTGTGCTTCGTCACAGGATGGGGAGACGAGAAAGGTAGACATATTTTGGTGTTTTTAATGAAAAGATTTCCTATAACGTTGTTTTTCCGAGTTCAGTACAAAATATTGGAACAGACATTAGTAGCAAGCCTTGGTGATAGATTTTGCTACTTGTAACATCTGAAACATTTTGGTTTTTCAGGTAATTCGTTCCCTGTTGTGGCCAAGTCGTTGAACCAAGCAGCTCTTCCAGTTGTTGACTTCCAGACCTGCAGCAAACCTTCATACTGGTGGGACACAGTTCGGCCCTCCATGATCTGCGCCGGCTACGAATCCCCTGACGAGCTGAAATCTGCCTGCCAGGTTCGCACACAACCACACACTCTGAAAATAAACCCAGGACAGTTTAGACCAGGGGTTCACAAACTTTTCCTTGGCTCCAAAAGCAGTGTTAGCTTCTTGCTGGGAAATCCCTTTGACTTAGTCAGTGATGAGTTTTTAGGTTTTTTTGCAAAAGAGCTGCTGGACGGTTTCTTTTAAGATCAAGAAACATGTTAGAAAAAACAAGGGCATTTGTGACTTTGAAAAGTAAAAAAATTGTTAAAAATTTTGAAATTAAATGAAATGAAATGAAATGAAATTAATACAAAAAAACACATTGAAATTTCTCAGTTTCAGAAGTTAAACATTTTTGACTTTCAGAAATTTTGAATGTCAAAAGTGAATTTTTTCACATTTTTGATCCTGCAGAAATTTCACATATCTTTCTAGAAAATTCTTTAAAATTATTTTCACAATATCTGAGTTTTTTAGAGAATTTTTGACAAAGTTCAAAATTTCCAATTTTTTTCAAAAAATAACTGAGATCAATATCAGAAATTCAGAGGGTTTTTTCATAAATAATTCTAAACTTTTAAAACTCTGAAATTTCCAACGTTTTTTTTTTTTCAGAAAAAAATTTCTTTGCCTTATCTCAAAATTAAATGATTTTTGGCAGAAATTTACTTCTCTGCCTTTTTTCTATCTACAGTGACCCTGATGCACTATTGAATAGAAAGGCATTATATAAAATTCTTTATAATTACTTTTTTTTTAAATCATTTTCTGTACAACTTTCTGAGGCCTTAGTAGCGCCCTCTTGTGGCCAACCAGGAAGCCCACTTTGAAAGACTCGGATGACTTCCTTTCTAACAGTCTTTGCACGTTGCATCAGTGTGTTGTTGTCACATAGCTGGGTCGTCCTTTTATTCCACAATCAGCCGGCTGTTTTGTTTGCGGTCGCTCAGCCTTGATTAGAAATCGCCGCAGCACAGATTGCAGCTATAATTGGACAAAAAGCATGATTTGTTTGCCGTAATAACCAACCAAGCGAGCAGGAGCAATTAGAGTCTCAGAGCTACAGAAAGCACTGAACAGGTCAATAAAACCTCAGTTAGGTTTCATTCCCCCAGGTTATTAATAAACCCTTCGCCCCACATTCAAGGACACAGAAATGAGTCATGGACTCGTCTGAACGTCCTCATGCATCGGAGTTTGTTCTGCTGCCCTGCAGGGCGACTCGGGCGGCCCGTTCGCCTGCTCCACCTCTGGGACCTGGGAGGTGCACGGTGTGGTCAGCTTCGGACCGCAGGGCTGCATCAAAGACAAGAAACCGTCGGTGTTCGCCCGAGTGTCGGCCTTCAGCCACTGGATCGAGGACAGCATCCGGAAGTTCGTTTATGAAAACAACAAAACGATATGAAACCTGCACAGATCAGGATGAAATGCTTTAAATTTGGGTTTTATTGTCTTAACTATAAAAGTGATAGAGAGTATTTAACAATGTCTGTATTTGTTTACAGTCACATTTATTGAATATATTTGCAAATTTGAGTTTATATTTCAATTTCCTGCTTAGTTGTGCCTCTCAATTTTTAAAATGTTACTATATTTTTGTTATACTTTGAGGGGAAAGTCAAATGTTTGTCATCTGGGAGCAATTACTGCTTTAAAAAAGATGGAAACTTACCTGATGATGGATTAATCAGAAAATGATTCAAGTTGAGCCACTAGTTACTATGATGATTCAATTCAAATCAAAATTATTATTTTTTTTATCCCAGAGCATTTTTTCCTTCTTGTAACGTTTGTATTATTTTGCCTGCTGTTATCTTCTCTATAATACAATTCTTGGTTTAATTAAATTATTTGAACTTTAAATCTGTAAGGTGTGAGAATACACACATTTTTCTAATCAATATGCAGATTTTATTTGAATGGGTTTCTTCAGAGCTGGCCTAAATATGACATAAAATAAAGACAAAGTAATAAATGGTCACCTTTTTTTTTAATGTGAGAAGTTGGGATTTTTACTCAATTTCCAAATTATAAATCTATAAAGCTTGTTTAAAAGCCTTTTAAAATAACTAAAATAACTCTGAATGCAGGTTTTTTTTTTATTTATTTTTATTATTTTTTTACATAATATTTGAATAATGAATTGATTTGATCCCAGCGGTCAGTCTTCAGTGTTATCATCCTCCATCTCCACAGCCTCATTTCCTTGCAGGTCTTGTTCATGTTTGGGATTTTATCCCGAGTCACGTGAGCGAGTCGGTGAGCCAATGGGAGAGCTCGGCTCGGGTTTCAGCAGAGGGGAATAAAGAGGGAGGAAGAGGGGCTAATCTGCGCCTCATGGGGCTGAACGGCGCAGAATCTGCCGGCACTGACTGAACAACAAACTCTTCATAACTGGATCTGCTTTCTGCGTTCGGAGGATTCGGATGTTGAGGCGGTTTTTCCTCTGACAGAGGAGGAGGAAGAGGAGGATAGCTGCAGTTTTGCCCCTCATCTTTAAGCCTCTGCTGGAGTTTTTTGGTGGAGGAATGGGGGCAGGAGCTATGACCATCTGTGTGAGTAAAGCAACTTGTGAACGAGAGTTTCCGGATAAAAACGGAGCCGGTGCTGCTCTGAGTGGCTGAGTTGGGGAGGAAAAACGTGCCAAAAATGTTTGCTTCCTGCTCTGAATCCTGCTTTTCTTCCTGAAGTAAAAGTAACTTATCTTTTAAAGGGGAACCTTTAAAAGTAATCAAATGCGCTTATTTTCTTAAATAACAGTCCATGTAAAACGCAAAGAAATACACTTTTCACAAACTCCTGACTTTTCATCTGTTATTTTATTACTTGTTTACGTCACTTCCTTAAAATGTCCCTTTTCCTGCTTTTTTCCTTCTGTAAGTTTTTTTCCCAGCTTTTTTTTTTTTACGTCTGTGGAGCTCTTGCTGCCAGTTGGCCCAGTGGCCACCCACATACTGGGAGCCTGGAAAAAAGGAGCTGCAGGGGGAGGAGAGCTGCATGCAGGGGGAGGAGAGCTGCATGCAGGGGCCTGTCCTCCCTTCATGAGTCAGAGAGCAGAACACAGGACAGATGATCCGGCCCAGGCTTTGGTCCCCAACTCACTTCTGAACTCTTCGGTTTGAAGGGGATGAAAGATTCCCATCAAGGTGTTTCAGTTCTTTACTGCAGGAATACAAAATCTCACCAAGTGTTTTTGGTCCAGTAACTTTTCAGCGCAATATAAGAGCTTATTTAAAGTAAATAATTTCTTACTCTGATGAAAAAGTTCTAGTTCCATAAGTAGATTATTTCACTCCAAAGACAATTTCCCAAGTTATAAGTGGGAAAAAATCTGGTGGAATTAGTAGTTTCCATAAAAATAATTGAAATAAGTTAAAATCTGAGCAAAAAGTGGAGGGAGAGAAAGAATGAGCATCATCAGATGGAGTAGTGATTAACAGCGATAAGAACAGCCTCCTGGCTCTGATTGGTTGTTTCTTGATGGCGCTGGAAGAAGGCAAATGATCTGTTTCATACAATATTTTTTTTTGCAATAAAAACATATTTATTATGTTTTTATTGCATAAAATATATGCAACTCTTAAAGCAAGTTGCACGCTGCAGCTTTAAGAGAGATGATGGCCCATATCATGACACTGCCTCTACCAAAAGCTGTCCAGCTTTGGCAGAGAAAATTTGTCAAGTTATTTATGGCTGCAATAAACATACTTAAATCTGCTTTCTTTTTACGGCGTTGATAAAATACAGAAAAAAAAATCAACTGAATGCATATTTCCCAACGTTTTCTGCTACGCCAATTGGAGATGCGGTTTAAAAAGATTTTTCACAGAATTGTGTGTCTTTGTGTGCATGAAGTGTGAAAGCTTTGTCAAATCGCGGGGAGGATTACAGAGGATGCGTCACAGCTGACTGTCTCTGTAAACAACAGAGGAAAATGGCTTCCTGAAACCTTTTGCTCTTCGCCAGCTTCTTCCCAAAGGCCTGGCAGAAAGTTGAATTGTTAAGTGACAGCACAATCTTTTTGAGGTTTTATCAGTCCACAGAATGATCCTGTGACAAGACCTGGGATCAGAAGAGCTTTATGTTTCTTTCATTCCCACAGAGAGACAAACTCTCAGAAATGTGTCTGATCTGGATTCTGGTTCTGGATCACCTGCCTGTAGACTGAACCTGGAACGATTAATCGGATTAGTCGTGATTAATCAAACGATGACATGGTCGCCAAACTAATTTAAAAACAAACAATTCAATTATTGACTGGCGTATATAGACTCTAAAAAAGGCCAATTACTGATAGAATAACACAAAACACTAATTTGGTCAAAGCTGTACAAAACATAAACATTTTGCATTTAAGATTAAAAAAAATACCTTCTTTTTCAGTGTGCTCTGCCCAAATCTATAGCCATAGTTTTAGCTTCACCTGGTTTAAATTTCAGAAAAGAAAAATCTTTTAACTAGCACCTTTCGCTGTGCAATTATTGATCAGTTGGTCAAAAAATATTCAAAACATCAACTCTAGACTGTATTAATGTATTTTTAACTGCAGGTTAATCCTTTGCCACAAATAATGAGACAAACACAAAGAGAATGCTATATTATTGCATTTTAGGCAATAAAATGATTATTTTTTGTTTTAAAAAGGAACTGAATTATTTGTTTATTTGCATTTTTATATAATTTATTGTTGTATAAAATAAGTTTTAGTGGTTAATAAAAAATCTGCAGAAAGTGACAATTTTTTCATCCGACAAATCAATTAATCATCAGAATAATCAATAGAATAATAATTAATGATACATATGTATGCGTCTGGCTGCTTTTGAGTTCCTCTGTTTGCACATGTTGAGGTGGTGATTGCATTTACCTCTGGTGTTTTATCAGCTCTGTATGAGGTCACCACATGTAGTCATGGCAGTAAAGATGGACCTGGAGCATCTGGTCATTATGTCCTCGTCTCAGATCAGCTTAACTGGAAATCTGTGGGGGGATCAACTTTATTTTACTCCTCACCAAAAATAAAAGGCAAAGAAGCAATAAAAAAGTTCAGTAAAACCCAAATGTTTCAGAAAAAAAGCTTAAACCTGGATTTATCTTTACATTAGATATGATTTGGGGAATAATTTGGATTTAATCAACTTGATGTATTTGAATCTCTTGATGTCTTTATGTTTTGTTTGTTTTTTTCTGTCCATATCTTTAAATTGTAACTGCATCACATATTTAACAAAAATATTTCAGAATGTTCATCTGACATTTATTGGAATAATAAAAAAACACTGAAAGAAATTAATAGTTGATGAAACTTAAATGAATTACTTAAGTTTGTTAATTTATTCACTTTTCGTGCACATAGAATAATTTGTGTGGCAGTTTGAGGATGGTAGAAATCAGCTTTTTTCAATTCTTCACTTGAAAATGTTAAGAACAACACAAAGAATTAATCTTTTATTTGTTTTTATTTTAAGTCATGCCACAAACATCCAGCAGCATTTACTCAGAAACACAACTGGGAGCCCATCCACTATAATTGGTTAAAGACAGCAAAGATTTTAGAAGAAAAATATATTTTTGTTCCTGGAAGTGAAATAAAAACATTTTATCGATCAACAAAATAGAAAAGAATTGGCTCAAAAAGTTAAACATTAAAGTAAAAGTCAATATCTGTTTTTATTAAAATATTACTTATTGATTTACTGCTGTGCAGGTAAAGGATATAGAATTTACAATAATATTTCTTTTGTATTTTTAATGGGGAGGAAAAACTTATTGTGATTTTTCTTTACTTTCAATTCAAAGCTTTTCTTTACGTCAACATGTGACAGGTTTGTTTTCACTGCAAGTTAATGAAATAAACGAATAAAATGTCTGATGAAATATGTTTTCATCAGTCACTAAGAACTGAAATGTCTCACTTCAGACATTTCTTAGTGTGTCAGTCCACCTGTTTGCACTGCAAAAAAAAATCTTACCAAGTATTTTTAGTCCAGTTTCTAATGCAAATATCTTAGTACACTTGAAATAAGAGAAATTTACTTACAAGTAAGTTCTCAGCAAAAAGTCATAGTTCGTCAACAGTAAATCATTCCCTAATATTGATGTAAACTCGCTCCAGTGTCAGATTATTTCACAAAAAGCATGGGAAAAATATCTAGTTGTATGGTAAGTAATATGCCAATTTAACCAGTTAACCAATTTAACCAGGGAGTTATTGATTTAAAACAAGCCACTTCTTGCTGTAAAGTTATTTGTAAGTTAATTTAGTCATATTTCAGGTGTGTCAAGACATTTGCAGTGGAAACGGGACCAGTACTAGTTGGGAGGATTTTGTGTTTTCGCTGTGTGAATCCAATATGGTGGAGTTGTAGCCATGACAACAGCGCTGAGACTTCCTTCCACTCTGCAGGATCCAGAACAGCAGGAAGTCTTAGCTGAAAGCACAACTGAATAAACACAGACGGATAAAACGATGCAGCAGTAAAAGTGACGCAGGTGGCAGAGATTTAGTGGAAGCAGGTGACAGTTTAACTCAGAGTTTCACCATGTGAGGGTAACAATGTGTGCCTCCACAGGTAACCAGGTAAGGAAGGCTTTTGTTATGTTATGAATCTGTGACCTTAAATGCTAATTTCTTACCTCGTGTTTGAGTGTCTCTCTCTAACAAAGGTGTAACCTGGTAACCTGCAACGCTTCCCCTCGCCTCCCAGAGCATGAGGCTCTAAATACAGAAGCTGCGTTTCCTGCAATGATCCTGCAGCTGCGAGCTGATGCCTGCCTCATGATTCCTGATTTCTGCTCTTCTCTCTCCCTGCAGCACAACCAGACCGCAGTTCTGGTCAGAGAAGACATGAAGAGGATGGTCCAGATGCCCATGCTGAGATCCAGAGCTGTGGCAGCCCAAAGCACCAGGGTGTTTGGAGCGTCCCTGCTGGAGCTGAGGGAGCGCGGCCTGGTGGAGGACGGAGTGCCTCTGCTGGTGCGGAGGATGGTAGAGCATCTCAGCAAGCATGGTAACAGGAACATACTCAACAGTATTAATGTTTTGGTTTGAAATGACCAGACTCTCCTTTGAATTTAACAGTTTAGTACAAAAAAACAAACCATTGTTGTGTGCACAGGCCTGTTGCAAGAAGCAATAATTGCACGATAAATGAGATCAATAATTTGCCTGATTTATCGTTTTCCTCTAAAACTGGATGACTAAAGTTTTCAGTTGGGGGTTTTGATCTCAACTAGCCCTTTTTTTGAAGGATAATGTTGTTTACATAGACTTCATAATTCATTCTATTTATTGTTTTTTTCTGTTTTGTTTACTTATTTTGGGTATTTATAATGTTTTCCTGTCTCAGAGTTCATTAGAAGTTTATTGATCTTTTAAGATGCCTTCTTGCATTATTATGCTGGAAAATTATCTAAAAGCAACAATATTATCATTTATTGCAATAACTTGTTAAATTTCTTATTGTGACAGACCTGCTGCTGTGATTTCCATGTTTTTTAAAACATTTCTGTACTTTATTTACTTTAAAGAAAGCTCAGATTTCTAAATGAATGTACAGTAATTCACAAAAATTGCTAATTCTTTTCTTCCCAATGTTACTACAATGAGACATACATGAAAAGATTTTTCTTTCTAAAAAGGTCAAACTAACTTAGTGTTTGTTTGCTTATTTAAACTTTTGTGTTTAAAAGTAAACAAGGACATAAAAGTTTACAGACACCTTTTTCTTTCCTCACCATTTTAGTTTAAATCAGATCAAATCTCTTTTTTTAGGTCCGTTAGAATGACCAGAATTATTTTTAGTCACTAAATGACACAATAATGAAAGAGAGAATATGTCAAAGTTATTTATTATTCCTGTCATTGAGTTTACATCCAGTTAATCAGTATTTGATGGCGTTGCCTTTTGCCTTCGAACTGTTCGGTTGGGTCAAATGTTCTGGTTTCCTTCCATTAGCTCGAGTTCTGGCCCGTTTCTCCTAACAGAAGACAAAGAAGCTCGGTCCGATTTAACTTCAGACGATGAGGAAAAAAAATATGCATGTGTCTTTATTTGGTTTATGTACATGTCTGGTGTCAACTGTATTTAAAACTGGAATCTAAACCTTGAATGTTTAACCTTCTGCTAATTCTCACATACTGCAATGCATCAATTTAACCACTAGATGTCACTGCAGGGGTACAGAACTTTTTACAAGTTTCTTCTGGAAGACATATTTACTCATTTTAAATGATAAACAATGGCGTTAATGGAAGAGATATGGACGGCTGCAGCAATTAAATGTGAACCTTTTTAGAAAATTGTTACCAACCAAGTTAAAACAATAGCAAAGAAATATTTAATATTTCCTTACTCACACCAGTTTCTGAATGAAACATACTTTTGAAGTCCGTTTTGCTGGTTGAATGCTATTTTAAAGGCTAAAGCTGCAGAGATAAGAGAGAAAAACCTCTAGGATCTTTATTGATGTCGTAAAATCTCGCATGTACTCGTTTATTTCATCACCAGTTTAATTTTAACCGCCGTTAAAACAATTCAAGTTAAACATTGACTAAAATCAAAACATAAATATGATATCAGCCGAGGCGTGAATGAGTCATAAATAAACATTCATCACCTTGCTGTGATCAGGATCATCTGGGTAATGATAAAGATTCAAATAAACCCGCAAAATTAGATCTAAGAAAACATGACAAGCGTAAAATAGTGTTGTAAAGATAAAAGCCTGCTAGTTTGTGTGGCATGGTTATGAAATTATATCAAGGTTCATAAAGTTTGTATCAAAATTAAACACTCTTAAATCTCAGAAACAACCAGAAGAAAGTAATTTATGATCTGTGATCATCTTGGGAAACTACTGACCCTTTAAAGTCTTACATCCTCTGTACTGATCTCACAAGTGATTATAAAAATATTCTCGAGGATCTCGTTTCCTACCAGTAACTGGTTTGACTGAATAATTGATTGTGCAGCTCCTATTCCATGATTAGGTGTCTATCGGTAACTAAATAGTGTTTTCCTTTGCCTTTCTGCAGCGCTGCATCAGGAAGGTTTGTTCAGAGTAAATGGAAACGTTCGGGCTGTGGAGACCCTGAAGCTGCGACTGGAGAGCTGCGGCGGCGGCGGCGGCGAGGCGGAGCTGCTCTCAGAGTCGGATCTGTGCACCGTGTCCAGCCTGCTCAAACGCTACCTCAGAGATCTGCCTGAAGGCCTGGTCAGCTCCACGGTGCAGCAGAAACTCATACAGCACTATCAGGGTAAAACATTAACTCTCACTCCCATCTTTATCTTATCCGCTCAGGGTAATCCAAGTAGATGGAGCTTTAGGATTTTATAGCCAGTATTTGCAGATTTATTAGACTTCACAGAAGTGTAATAAATAAATATCATGAATATCTGGGTCATAGATGGATGAAAGCAGCTTCTCCATCAAACAGAGCCAACCAGGTCATTGCTGAGTTAAATCTGAGTTATTGATCCCAGCAGTCATGAATCTCAGGGCGATAATCTTGGCAGGCCTGAACATTTAGATTGAGTTTTTTTGGTAGAGAAAGTGTTTGCTCCGCTCCAGCTCCAGGCGGTTATATTTTATGCGAATGATGGCAGAGGAGAGAACATTTTGGCTGAAGTGTTTGTTTTGCTTTTATGGCTGCCATAAATATCTGCTTTGTTTACATGGGTACTCTGTTGGACTTTGTGAAACTGTTTTGGCCTCTGTTGTTACTTCTTGCTTCTATTATAGTAAATTTTCTGTGTTTATTTTTTTCTGCTATTGACAGACAGAAAATTATATTCTAGTGTTTTGACATGAATAAGACATCATCTCCAGTCAGCCACACATATTACAGATATGTTAAAAAAAATCTGGTGGCATGAGAGCCAGCCCCACTTCCCAAACAAATTCAATTCAAAACTATTTCATTTACTTATTAAATTAAATTCATTCAACTTTTCACCGCACTTTGAAAATCCTGGACTGTCAAGTTTTTTCTATAATTAAGCAAAATATATCACGGAGCTAATTGTGCTAACGGTAAAATAAAGCTTGGGTAGAACAGATGGAGACTTAGTTGTTAGTTGCTCTAACATTAATATTATCATCAAGTTTAAGCTAGTGGCTTTAGCTTTTATTAGTGCTGGTTTTTGCTAATAGTTACCATGTTCAATTTACTTCAGAAATCAGAACTGGAAAGACTGAAAACACTCAACATTAATTATTTCGCTAATGAATTTTCAAAAGGCAAAAATACATAACCTAATTTTGCTTTACATTGAAAACAGTTGATGAAATAGCTAGCAGCTAGCTGCACTCCAACAATTAGCTTAAGGTAACTTGGCCACTTGTAGTGGTTAACTTGGCCACTAGAGAGCAGTATGCTTTGATGAACTAAACACTGCAGCATCATAAGTTACCCACATGTTTAATGTATCTAAATTGTTTTAATTTCTTAATCAAACTTATACTCATGTAGATGTTTTTAGATCTGTGCATTTTTCTCCTCAGCATCTTGACTTACGAAGGTGGAAACGTAAAATAAACAGTATTCACTCAAACCTGCACTGAATCTGAACTTCACTCGCCTGTAGACTTACAACTGTAGGCCATTGTTCCCCTCTGGCCCTCTGCACACTGACACAGATGTACACACATTGGTACGCATGCATGAACACAAGCAGAGAGCCATTCACAACATTTGCGTCAGTCATATCCGTTTATCCAACTCTGACCTAATTAATTATCCTGAGTAAGAGTCTCAACATATTTTCAGGCTCTTTGCTGTAATACTTTTCCAAGTCACCATAACTGAAGATTAAACATCAGTTTTTACGTGTGTCTGGGATCAAACTGAAACATGCTGGCTGACAAGAACTGGTTGGGTCTGGACCCGACTCTTTAACTGAAATCTGCATCTACTGATTTATGGGGTCACAAAGACAAGAAATATGTTTAATCTAAAGTCACATTTCCAGACTCAATAACAGTTAAAGTTATCAAGCATGGTGGTAGTGTCATGTTGCGGGGTACGCTCTAATTGAACAAACTGAGTAGAAAAATATATCCCACTTCATGTCAAATCAACACCTAGAAAGTTAAAATGTAAAAAACTGATCAGCGGTGACTCCATGTGGAAATTAGCAGTAAGAGCTCATACGGTGCATCTCTCCTCTTGTGGTTAATGTGCACTGTATATTGTCCCAGTTTTAAAGTAAAAACAAATGATAAATAAATAGTAAATCAGCAAACATCAATTCATGTATATGGTTGAGGAACAACTAGTCTTTCTGCTGATGTTTTTTGATTTTCCAGACAGTGGAGGTGATGTTTCCTGGTTGGTGATTAGAGATTCCCTGCAGCAGCTGCCAGATGTTCACCTCAGCCTCCTGCGCTACCTCTGCAACTTCCTGACTCTGGTGGAGAAAAACCACGAAGAAAACCGCATGACGGCCCAGAACCTCGCCACTGTTTTTGGACCCAGCGTCTTTCAGTGAGGAGAAAAATTTACTTCAGTAAACAATACTAATCTTTCTGAAGGTTGGAGCTTTTTAAGTTTTATCCTTGTTCACTTTTATTCGTAAAGACACACAAATATTTCCAATGAATCATTGGAAATTACAAATTTCCTCATTTAAAATTCGGAAGATTAATTTTTTTTTTTTGTTACTTTTTATTACTTATTTGCAGCCTGTCAAAACGACACTATTTGTTTCCATTTCTTAAGCTAA